CAAAGATTATCTGGGGAAAATCTGATCACTGAGCCCAACGAGGGAGAGCTTAAATTCTGCTTTGATTGACAGCTCTGCCTTCCCCTCACTGCCAGGCTATTCCTGCCTTAAACTCAAAGTCAGTGCAAAGGGACCCTGGCTGATTTTATTCTACTAGGTCTCAGCATTGCAAGTGGTTCCCACTGAAGAGCCGGGCATCTCAGATGTATAAATGAAAGGGGCAGCACAAAAGAAAAGGGGACTTGAAGGACATCCCTCAGGGAAGGGAACAGGCAGGACTGGAATTGGTTAGTTAAGACCAACCAATTGTCCCCATGTAACCATGACCAATATTTTTCAAATTTAGGTGCCCCAAATCACAAACCTAAATTCCATATACAGTGTCACCTAAGTAAGAAGCCTATTTTTAAAGGTTTTTGGAACATCTGGAAATCAAGTCACTTTTAATAGATATTTAAAAATATATTTACGAGCCTAATGTTAGGAGGAACCTACATGTGAATATTTTGACCTACATGTTTTGAATGAAAGACTGGAAATGCAAAAATATATATTAAAAACACAAACAAACAAAGAAGCATAAAAATCAAAGTGTGTAGTGATTTCTTTTGCCCACACATCTGTCAAAGTGATATGTCTCCATGGACCTGTCTTAGCGTCTCCATCCCCATGTCAAATAGCAGATTGCTTCTAAGGCAAGGAAACAAAATGAGACTGCACTGGAACAGATGTGCCATAAATCTATTTAGGGCTGGTAGTGTCCCCACAAAATGAGAAAGTGCTTAGGCAGAGAAATGAGGAATAACATTTGTTACTACATCAGACACCTTGCCTCCAACTAGTATAGGAGCACACTTTTGCTTTACTTACAGTACAATCAGCACAGAAAAATATCTATTTGTTGTTAATATTGAGCAGCTTTTTATTGATAGTTTTCAAAATACTGTACTCTGGTGAGTAATTAGCATTATCCCCATTTCCCAGAGAGGGGAAACTGAGGCACAGAGCTGTGACATACTCAATACTGCACAGTGAATTGGTGGCAAACCTGAGATTTTCCCATCTGCCAGTCCAATGCCCAATCCACCAGACCATGCTCTCAACCCTTAAAGTCCTTTCAAATTTAACGGCGATGAAACCATTAGAGTTCTTTAGAAACTGCTGTACTAACCTACTGATTTTAATAGAGTGAAGAGCCATATTATAGCAGGGCTATAATGTCTATTCAATACAATTCCATAGGGTTTTTGATAAGGGAAATTTTTACCATCCAGGGACTAAAAAAACAATTTCTATTTCACTGAAATGAAATAAAATGTACTTATGGGACTTAGTTCTGATTTAAATTCTATGCCTTTATTCACTGAAAGATTATAGTACCACAGAGAACAGCATAACAATCAGTCAAATATGGCAAGAAATAGGCACAGTAAGATACACTGGGATTTTTTGACAAGGCAAAAGTTGGCGTAACAGCTGTTATACTGGAGTTCTGGCCTCTGCTATTAACGTAATGCAGCATTTTTACATTACTCTAACTGATGGACTGTTTACATTACAATTTCAAACAAGGTGATAATGTGTATTTTATAAAAGTATAATACGGCAAAAGTGCTTTTCCTCCACTGAATTTTATGTCTGACTGGAGGGCATATTTGTGTCCACTGCTTTAGACGGTATACAAGTTTGAGGCTTAGTTCTTTATATTGTTTAATATCCTCTCCAGCTGTACTTTTGATTGTGCAGCCCCTTTTTGAGAGCTAGCGAGACTTTATCTAACACGAAATGAAAGCCACTGTGCAAAGTGACACTTTCCACTTTGAATTTTTTTTAAAGCAGTCAGTTAATATCCTGATGAATTCTACACCACCTTTACGCAAAAGCTACTTTTATTAACAGAAAAGCTACTTGCTGTCTGTAAGGAGGTGATGTTCACAATTTGGCCTGGACAGAATACACTCACATTTTATAAAGTACAAATTTAGGCCTCAATCCTACAATTGACAGTCTGCCCACATGATGTCAGTTCCCAGATGTGAGTCTTACCTCCTTCCTGGAATGTAACTTTATGGGTAACAAATATCAGTGAAAAACAAACTTCAATCTATGCTGCTTTCATCCCCAAACTGGCTGTTCATGGGGTTTGCCCTGCAGATCTCGTCTGTCCCAGCCACTCGTTCCTTCTCTGTCAGGGAGAGGCTCCAACTCATCTTATACTTCTTGAATGGAGCTAACTGGACCTCTTGTAACCTCAGAATGACTCAGTAAAAACACCTTGTCAGATATATGTACGGTCCAAGCATCTGACTCAAGATAATGCAGCAGAAAAGCCCTGGAATCTGTCACCCTGTTATACCTCCTTTCATTAGCCCTTCATTTGCAGCTGTCACATTATTTAGCATGGATAACATGGACAGTAGCCTACGACATAGAGGAAGGCTGCTTGAGTATCTGTTTGCACTGCCATAAAAGAAAACGAACAGGTTCTACTTACCATTGCAACAAACATACGGCTTCTCAGCCTAGCCCTTCCTATCATTTCTCATTCAGTATCAAGATGTTGACTCCCACTGCCATTCAGCCCAGGATACCAGCCTCAATTGCCCACTTGTTAAATTTTCGAACAAGCACCTTTGTGCGTTCTCCCATGCTGCTCCTCATGTTTGGAGGCGCTCCCCATAAACATCCACAGAGCTACCTCCTCCTCCTCCTTCAAAACCCTCCTTAAACCTCTCCTTTGCTGGGATGACTATCAGAAACTTTACAACAGTTTAGGCTGCAGGTATGCTGAGATCACTTCCTCTCATGCTGACCAGCATTGTCTCACTGTGTCCTTGTACTCCCCCATTGGTCTGTCTTTACCTGTTATCTCTTGTCTAATACTGACATTGTAAGCTCTTTGGGGCAGAGATAGGGGTTTTTTTGGTTCTGCATTTGTATTGTGCCTAGCATAATGGGGTTCTGGTCCATGATTAGAGTGTCTAGGCCTCATGGTAATACAAATAATACAAAAATAGTAAGTTCAGGTAAAGTAATGGGTTGTATCAATAGAGTTTTATCTCAAGCAGGTTAAAAATAAAAGTAATAGGGATTATTCAGCTGGTTGTTGATGGAGGTGCACACACAGGATCACCAAATATGTCATAAATGACCCTTTACCTCAAATGCATGCATTGCCTCCCGCCTTTCCCTAACCTACGCTGTTTGGCAGTCCTAGCCTCAAACAGAAGTTTACTGGTGGTAATCTGTAAAACAAGGAGGTGGGAACTAGCAAACAATTGCTGGTAAAAACCTGGCAGCTGAGTTAAAGAGACAGCCTCTGATTTAAAAGACGCCAAACATAACTTGGGCTATGCCTACACTACGTCATTTACAGGGGCGCAGCTGCACCGATGCCGCTGTAGCGCTTCTGGTGAAGACGCTCTAAGCCGATAGGAGAGAGCTCTCCCATCAGCTCAATAACTCGTGCCTCATCGAGAGGTGGTAGCTATGTTGACGGGAGAAGCTCTCCTGTCGACATAGCGCTGTCTACACCAGCACTTAAGTCGGTGTGACTTATGTTGCTCAGGGGTTGTGGCTTATTCACACCCCTGAGCGATGTAAGTTATACTGAAGTAATTTGTAGTGTAGACATAGCCTCAGTGAAGTAGCAGGTCCATAGAATATAGCTAGCTGGAATGACTGTGTTACAGAGGCATATAAGGCTATGAGAATCTGAAAATCATTAATATTACACACAAAACAACATATATAAAGTTGTCCTTAAATAAAGTATCTTTTCTTACAGTTTATCTTAAAACAAGTCTCAGAGGTATCGCTGGCAATAGAAAAATGACTATTCTTACACATATTTAAGTAATAGTAATCAAGTGTCAAGTAACACACCCAAGCGTAATTTGTGAAACTGCATCTACTTTGGGTTCACTTGTATTTTGCAAAACTGTCGAATCTCTCATAAAATTACAAGTGTATTTTTTAAATCATATATAAAGAAGTGGGTGTTTTCTTCTATTTTGCAACTGCGTAATCAAGAACTAACTATGTGGCAGCAGAATAATTTTTTACTGAAAGAATTTCACTGTCCTGAAAGAGAGAATCAGAAAGAAAATTGATTACACCTCTAGCCATCTGTTCCATCTAGGCACCCATTCCAGCTATCTAATCATGTACCCATCCTGTGCTCATCGAAGTGGTTTCTGAGCAATTTGGCAATCACAGCAAAGTGACAGCAATTCAGCTTTGTTTTTAACGCTATTTCTTTTTATTTATTCTTCGTAACTATAAGGTTCGTTAGCAAAATAACCCTTATACCTAAGTGGAGTTAATATAATGCATCTTATTCTGATGACAGACAACAGTTGAATGATGTAGTGTAGTATTTCAGAATCTTTGGAAAAAGAGATTTTTCTCCTCTGAATCAGGCTCCCTAAGCTGTGCACAAAATCTCCTCTTCTATCAGTTAGGTTTGTGCTGGTAGTCTGCAATAAAGCAGTAAAGCTAAAAGTTGTAACGGAGGCACTTCGGATAAATATGGAACAGCAACAAGAGGCAATGCAAAAGCGGATACGCTCCCACTGTTGCCTCCTACTCAAAATCTTCCCAGAGGCCCTACATTATAATTGAACATACTTCTAAATCAGGGGTTCTCAAACTTCATTGCACCACGACCCCCTTCTGATAACAACAATTACTATAGGACCCCAGGTAGGGGGGGCTGAAGCCTGATCCCAAGCCCCATCACCCCGGGCGGGAGGCCAAAGCCCAAGGGCTTCAGCCCCAGGCAGGGGGCCTCTATCCCAGGGGTCTCAAACTCAAATGACCACGAGGACCACATGAGGACTAGTACATTGGCCCGAGGGCCACATCACTGACACCCCCACCCCCGCTGCCCCTGGCCCCGCCCCAACTCCACCCCTTCCACGAGGCCCCGCCTCTTCCCACCCCTTCCCTACCCCCATTCCAACCCTTTCCCCGAAGTCCCCACCCCAACTCTGCCCCCTCTCTGCCCCCAGGGGGTGCAGAAGGGGGCTCAGGGCAGGGGGTTGGGGTGCAGGAGGGAGTGCGGGGTATGGTAGAGGGTTGGGGTGCGGGCAGGGGGTTGGGGTGCAGGCAGGGGGCTCAGGGCAGGGACTTGGGGTTACCTAGAGCGGCTCCGGGATGGCAGCTCCCTGCCTGCCAGCTCCGCTCAGCAGCCGGAACCATGTCTCTGCGGCCCAGGGGAGGGAGGGGTGTGGGTGGGGGCACAGGGCTCCGTGCGCTGCTTTTGCTGCTCCTCCAGGTACCTCCCCCGAAGCTCCCATTGGCTGCGGTTCCCCGTTCCTGGCCAATGGGAGCTGCGTGGGGCGGTGCCTGGAAGCCAGGGCAACGCACGGAGCCCTCTGCCCCTCCCCCCGGGCCGCAGGGACGTTGTGCCGGCCACTTCAAGGAGCGGCAGGGGGCAAGCCCGCCGGTCGGATTCGGCCCGCAGGCTGTAGTTTGCTCACCCCTGGCCTGGAGGTGGGCCGGGGTGGGGGAGCACAGGCTGCAGGAAATGTGGCCCACGTGTTTGAGACCTCTGCTCTAACCTGAGCCCCTCCACCCAGGGCTGAAGCCCTCAAGCTTCAGCCCTGGGAGCTGGGGCTCGGGCTTCGGCCCCAAGCCCCAGAAAGTCTAAGCCAGCCCTGGCGCCCCCACTTTGGGGTCCCGACCCCCAGTCTGAGAACCATTATTCTAAATCAAATCTAGCTGAAATGCAGCCAGTCTACTCATCTAGTACCCTCTGCTGGGCTATTCCTGGTACAGCTCTGGCAGCAGGGCCAGTCTATTAACCCCTGTCTGACACAAAAGGTGCTGTGACTGCAATGCAGCTTCAGTTGGACCTGGAGGGAGGGGGAGACAGACACAGACTGGAAAAAAAAACAAACTAAAAAGCAAAAAGTTGACATTGTTATGAAACATCAAAAAATCCCTCCATTTCCAAAAATAAAGCTAGTTGCTCAAGTTACATTATCCTACAGTCATGAAGATATTTCTGTTAAACTAAGAATATCTGGGATGACTATGTAGAGGATAACCTGTTACTGCATGATGCAGATTGTGGAGCTACAAAAGAATGTCTTTATGCAGTATGGTTTGTAAAAGTAGTAACGCTTTAAAATAAAAAATCGTGTCCAAAAAACAATAGAAAATATTTTTTTCTCTTCTCAGTTAAGAATTATTTCAAGGTAGATTGCAAAGTGTTCCAGGCAGTGACCTTGCTAAAATTCATCTCAATTTAAGGCATATCAACATGAACAGAGAAGGCGGCTATAAATATGGCCCCTTAAGCATGCACAGGTAATACTGATACATGTTGAAATGCTGCTTCTCTAGATTGTGCATTAAGGCAAAGAGAGCGGAGACTTTTAGTCTTCAGTAGGAGTTCATTTTAATTCTTCTGTGTAGACAGCAGGTAAAAATCATCCCACAGCTCTGTGTTTAAAACAAAACAAAAATAAATTATTGCACCACGTCAGTAGTGGATGGGAAATACTAATGCATTTTAGAAGATCTAATCCAATTTCATTGAACCAAAAGAAAATTTTTAAAAGGCCTTTTTATTTGCATAGTAATCAAATTTCCATTCAGTCAGATATGGATTTTGTTTTTCCATTAATACCTTATTGACAAACAGAACTCTAAAATGTCAGCAACAACGATTCCTTATACAGAACAAAACGAGCTCTTATGATGCCTGATTTCTATGTCCGCCACAGGGGTGGACTTTAGGCCGAAGCTCACTGCACATCCAGGGGCCCTTCTTCCTGCTGCCAGACAATTGATGGCTCTGGTAAGGTACTGCTTGTTGACCTGCACCCCTGCAAGGTGCCAAGCACGTCCTGGGAGGCTCTGAAAGCTACCACTCCCACTTAAGTCAATGCATCTCATCCTGCTGCCACTGTGAAGTCAGTGTGAATGTCCACATTGATTTTAGTGTGGGCAGCATTAGGGCTAACAGCTCAGCATCTCAGACCAGATTCATTGACCACCTGCTGTCCCAGCACTCTTAGACCCCTGTTCCCTGCTCAGCTTCTTCCCATTCATCTGCACTCAGGACTGACACACACTGTGCTGGAAACCAGCTCTTCCCCCTATACTTTGCTCTCTGCACTGGATCAGCCTTTGCTGTTGCTTGGCAGCTGGGGGATATTGTTGGTGTACGGAGGTCAGGAGTCTAGTCACAGGTAAGATGAGGCTGGATGGTATCCTGCCTGTCCTACTTTGCCCAAAACACAGGTGCTGTCCTGCCCCCAACACATCTGCATGTCAGCTATTTCCTTTCAAAGTGGGACAAGAGAAGCACCAACCACCTAATCCTCGTTCCTCAACGTATGATTTCCGTTGGTGTTGGGAGCGTGGCGGAGGCTTATGGGATCAGGCCCTGTCAAGGAGAGCCAGGTCAACAGATTTCTCAAAGACAGCACCTGTGTCCTGACTGGAGTCCTTGGCATTCATCTTCTCCGCTGTTTTTTTCTTACCTTTGTCTTGTTTGTTACAGTAGGTTAATTTCTGGCAGCTATTTTTCCATGCTCCAGAATGTTAACATCACCATTCTATTTATAGTTCCTGTGCTGACACTTGGTAATGAAAATATATTTTCACGACTTGTATGCGGTTCTCTGGCTTTCTCCTTTTCACCCCCCTTGACCCTATTGCTTATTTCTTGGATGAACGAGACTTTTCATGCTGCCAGGCAAAATTAGATGAGGAGTATTTCCAAGTTGAAAATGATTTAACCACCCCCCAAACCAGTCTCATTTAAATTTATGAGACCAATCTGATTGTTCCTTGAGCACTGACCATATTATCAGAACTCTGGATATCTCCAGAGATGTAGATTAATAAAGAACTGCAGAGATTAGGCAAAAAAAAATCCCGTTTCAAATCCAGATCTTGCCTGTGCTTAGACAGAACATATAGAGAAGCCTAACCATAGCTAGGTTAGGCAGCTGGAACGTCATTCAGAGGAAAGTAGACACAGAATCTTGGTCTTGGGGCTTAGCAAACAGGCAAAGGTGCAAATGATATTTTACGCTTTAGTGCATTTCTGAGCTGTAAATCAGCCCAATGCAGAGGACCCAGGCCAGGCCACACCCACCACTTAAACCCATGTGGCCAAATCCTGATCCTGCTGACATTGATGACAAATTTTCATTGACTTTGAGAATGGGATTTGGTGCTAAAGCACAAATCTGGGTCCCCGCACCTTTTCTCTGTAGCTAGGCCAGGCCTAGGACAGATGTGGGGGAGACGGGTGAGGAGTATTCTTCCCCAGACTATGGGGCAGTTGAGGAGATGCTCCACAAAAGTGACTTCGGTCTGATGGTCATGGTAGCCACCGTTGGGCCTTATGCAGTCCTCTGTGGGGCAAAGGACCAGAGGACCTAAACTGGATGGGACTCTCTGGCCAGCCCATGCCTCGACCCTGCAGCGATGAGCACTGTGCTGAGCATGAAGTCTGCTCCTCTGGCATGGCTCACCCTCCCAGTCCCCCCCTTCGCAACAGGACTCCATTACTCCCACTGCATGTGGCCCAGATCTCTACCCTATCATGCAGCACTTCAGTGATGTGGGGGCCCTGAAGTGGCTGCCTCTGCTCTGGGGAAAATTTCATCTTGAATGCTAGAGAATCTCAGCAAGTTTGCTCATTTGCTAAAGCAGGGCATTCACCCTTTGAATGTGCATGCAGTGCATGTGGATCTGCTGTCATGTCCATTTTCTGCCTCAGCTGCTGTTACTAATAAGGCTTTGATGCACTGGGTCACATCTTGACTTAATTGCAGTCAGACTTTCTTGGCAGGTCATTTAAACAGAACATCGCCATGAAGCTGAAGCAGGTGCTTGTTTTCCAGGTCCATGACAAGGGGCGGGGGGGGGGGGGGGAGGAGGGAGCTGTCAACTGAGCAAGGGAGGGAGCTGCAAAACCTCTACAACCAACTCACAGACAAGACAGCTTATTACTAGTTTGACAGTGCACAGTAAACACATAGGGCCTGATTCTCATTTATACCAAAGCCACTTTATACAGCTTTAGGAGTGGAAAGGGGCCTTAGAGTGAGTGTAAATGTCATTTACTCCCCCTTTAAGGTCTCTCTGCGCTGTAGAGCAGCCTTTGTGTATATGAAAATCCGGCCCACAAACCTGAAAGCGCTGCTGGACTGCACGCAGAGGCTCGGCTCGGCTCTAAACAGAAATAACAAAAAGACCTTTTTGTTGCAGGAGAGAGTTCAGACTGAGGTCCAGGCCTGGCAATCAGAGATGGCTCCACGCACCACTGGGTTGTAAAAAAGCACACAACTGATTACTGCTGGTGCCCTGGCTTCGTTATTATTTGTATGGCAGTGGCATCTACGTGCTCCAGTGAAGGAGCAGCGGCCCATTGGGCTAGGCCCAGTACACACACATATAAGAGCTCACAATCTACGTCTATGATGAGAAACGACAGGTGGATACAGCAAAGAGATGGGGAACACAAGTTAACAGTCAGATGGCCACAATCTGATCCAAAGACCGTTGAAGTCAATGGAAAGACTCCAATTTACTTCAGTGGGCTTAGGATCTGTCCCCTCATGCACAGAAATCACATTGGCATCTTTGGGTGGGGAATGACCCTTTTTTAGTTTTGCTTCCTCTCAAGGTCACTTCTAGGCCTATGATTCTGTGATGCGTGTTACCATCATGTATTACACATGCCCTGTGCCAAAGGCATCTGTGATACCTGCTAGGGATCCGACCACCTTGTCTGCTGCCTGACTCATTTTAAAACAACACCTTTATTGGCTCATTTTAAGTTCTGTAATTATCTGTGTGCAGGTCAGATTCCATGATGCTTTGGGGACTAGCCAGGGTCTGACTCTCATGCTGCCTGACTTTAATGGGTTATTACACTTTAATGAGCTCCTCCATGCTGCTCTGTGGGCTGCTGAGCAAACAGGAACCGGGTGAGGATGTACTGCTTTCGAGATCAGCAATTTTTGCAGCTCAAAAAGGCAAAACCCGAAATTGTTCTCAAAAGCTCGTCTGCTTGAAATTCGAAGTCCAGCTACCTCATGTGCCATCAACAATAGTCAAAAGCACATTTGACATGTGGCACTTTTTATACTTGCCAGCAAAGAGGAAAGTTAATGCCAGAGGTGGTTGAGCAATTATTATGTCACGTTTTCTTATACTAGGTAATGGTGCCCAATACGCTCCATAAGATGCTACAGCCATCAGACGCATTTTTGGGGAGGAAGTACCGTCTAACTGTTAGAGCAAGGATGATGAAGGGGAAGTCAAGCTAGAGGGAGAGAAGGCAGGCTGGTAGGAAGTTCTGAAGTGGTGGCGGTGGCAATAACAGCAGTGGTTGTGCAGTGGGAGTGGGACTGTGCAAACCACAACATCAGTTCAGGTTTGTTAACCACTTGTGAACTTTGGCTAATGTTCATGAACATGTTAGAACTGAACATAAGAACAGCCATACTGGATCAGACCAATGGTTCATCTAGCCCAGTATCCTGTCTTCTGACAGTGGCCAATGCCAGGTGCCCCAGAGGGAATGAACAGAACAGGTAATCATCAGGTGATCCATCTCCTGTTGCCCATTCCCAGCTTCTGGAAAACAGAGGCTAGGGACACCATCCCTGCCCATCCTGGCTCATAGCCATTGATGGACCTATCCTCCAGGAACTTTAGTTCTTTTTTGAACCCTGTTATAGTCTTGGCCTTCACAACATCCTCTGGCAAGGAGTTCCACAGGTTGACTGTGCGTTATGTGAAGAAATATTTCCTTTTGTTTGTTTTAAACCTGCTGCCTATTAAGCCTGGACTCCACCTGCTTTTGAAGGGGGTCACTGGGAGTCTTTCCATTAACTTCAATATCCTATGTGAGCGTTTTGCTCTGTCCTATGGAGAATGCATTGTGACGATAAAAGTTTGTGTCATTTGGAACAGGATAACTTTGATTCCTCTGGGCTTCCACTGGCTGAACTCCTTCTCCAGTCATATAAAATTCATCTTTAATATGTAGTCTTACCCTTTGCAGGTGGATTTAAGGTTCCCAATTCAGAAGACTCCCACCCCACACAAGAGTTTCAGTACAAATTCTTCTTTAAATACCTCACTTTTTTCCTTTCCTCCTCTGAGTTTTATGTATGATTCCTAACCACATTTCTAGTATCCCTGCCCAACTGATCAAGATCAATCAGTAGGATACAACACTTAAAATTATCTGAAAAATATCAAGACATTATATTTATATTACTACTGACATTTCCAACTGGACCATGTCACTAAGGATGATTACAGGCCTTATTATTATTATTTACTCCCACTTTAAGGCGCCTTTACCCAGGCCAGAGGGGTGTGAAGGGGCCTTAGTGTTAATAAGAATCAAGCCTTATGGCAATTGCATGTAAAAGAAAAATTAAACTCATAGTAAAAGTTAGACAATTCCAGAAAATCTATTCCAGTTCTAATGACATCAAAAACATCATCAAATTAGTTCTGCTGGTAATTGAAGAGATTTTATCTTTGTTTAGGGCTTGATCCTGCAATGAGGAATCCTTACTTAAAAGAGTACAGTGGCCTTAAACGTTTATAGGAACATAAAGTTGTATCCAGACCCCACTGAAGTAAATGTGTGCTTTGATGCTGACTTCAATGGGATCAGGATTTCTCCCATATGAACTGACATACAAAATAAGCCCAATATTCTGTTGCTGACAGTAATTCCAAGGAAGATACAAGAAACTGTGAAATGGACAATTAAGGAATAACCAGCCCATAGGGAAAATTTCTAAGCATGAAGGTTTATATCCCTTGTAATTTATTTTATCCTGTCTAATGTGACTGTGGTTCTTCTCATTATCTGTATAAACATCCAATCCTTTTTTTGGAATCCTGCTAAGCTCTTGGCGTTTGCAATTAGGTAACGTTACGGCCGGAATCCCGATAGCAAAAGGAATACTTGGAGAATTCTACTAACATTGCTGTACTGTTAGTTAGCTACAAAAGCCATTCAAAAGTAAAAGGGAGCCACTGTAGACCCATTGACTTCAGTGGAATTGCTCCTGTAAGGGTTGGTCTTGGAAGGGTAGGTTTGCAACATTAGGCCCTATGTTATGTTTTACAAACATTTAATAATCCTTAGTGCTTATTTGCTCTTACACAACTCCACAAAGGCAGGCAAATCACATGCAAAGCCATTGCAAGCTCGCCTTTCAGTTATAGGTTGTGCAGTGCAGAAAGAGCCAATGCTTTTTACCAAGCATCCAAGAAAACCAAAAAGAATCATGCAAGATGGTCACAAGCCACAAGAGCATTCCCAGGCATGCATTTAAAAGAATAGCACATGCACCATACCATAGTAGGGGTAAAGAAGGCTAACCAGTCACATTACAGAATACGCATCTTCTTCCTCTTCCATATAGAGAATATAGATAAAACAGGTGGTCAGGCCTGCACCAAGCAGCTAGTACACCATAAACAAAAACAGTCAGGAAAACAAGTTAGATTGGATTGGGCAGATTAGCTCAGTACAATAATGTCAAAGGATTGAACTAGCTGCCCCCTATTCATTCCAAATTAGCACATGACACAATCTCTAATTTCCTCGCGACAAGGATTGGAGCTGACCACAGGAAAGTAGCAATTTGGGCTTTTCCTACACATAGCTGCGTGTTTGGAAACAGAGAGATCATCAAAAGTTTTCACCCTTTGATGATAAAATAAGGAAATTAAAATAGCAAGCAGCTGTTTCGATAGTTTAAATCATTCAGTCTTCAAAATGAATACAAATTCATTTACAGTTCAGCAGAATCACACAAAGGTTCCCATCTAGCAAAGCACTTGAACACGTACTTAACTTTAAGCACACGAATCATTGAATTGACTTCAATGGGACTGCTTGAGCAGCAAGCTGCTACTCAATGTGAGTAAGGGTTTCAGAGGCTGGTTCTAATTTGCACAAGTCAGTTATTCACAATAGTGCAGTCATTAGCACAAATGAACAAGACTCTACTGTAACTGGGTTTTTGAAACTGTACAATATTACTTTCTTAAATCCTATTGCTTTCTCTGTAGATAAACTACTCCTCAGAGAGAACAGTGGGAACCTAAACTGCCTGGGAGTTTTCTCTCACCTGACTATCCAAGATACAACCTTTGGCTTCTTTCTGCCATTTGAAAAATAAAAATTAAACATTGATTACATTTTATTTAACATCAGGAAAATAACTGCCTACTTGAGCGGAAGCTAGACAATGTTGAGATTCATGAAATCAAGTACTATCTTTCTTGCAAGTTGTCTGGATAGACCCCATTTCTCCACTCCTCACCTGGCCTATTTAGTGCCACTCATGGCTGCAATGCCTGCTATAGGTGAGGTAGGTACATAGGCCTCATTTGAAGCCCATCATAGTTGATGGAAGGACTCCCATTATGGACTATACTGAGGGACCATAGTGAATACGCCATTAAAGCAGCAACTGGCCTTGGAAAAGAGAGCTATGGTTGATTCATAAAAAACTCCATGCAAGTGCATTCACATTCAGCTTTGGCATCAAATGGGCATACAGCTTGTTTCTACCACACAAAACAACTCTTCAAGATTTATAGACTAGCGTGAATTTAGGCAGCTGGAAAGCAAAGCATGAGAAAACATCATCTGCTGCAAAACAAGTGTTTTGTGGGGACAAAGTGTAACCTTATAAAATGAATATTAAAACTTCATGAGAATTAAAACAGCATGGAATGCACCATCCTCCTAAATGATTGTTAGACATGCAGAATAAAAGAAACATGCATATCGGTGATAGAAGGAGGCAGTTCCTCTTACAATTTACACCACTGATTTTGGATGTGAGCTTGAACTTTGAGAGGTCAACAACAGAAAGGCAGAAGCAGAGTGACGCTGTATTATACAAGGCATTAAGTCTTTATTTAGACTTTGGTGGGGGTGAAACTAAGGGATAAATGTCCTGTGGAGCTTGATTGTGCTTTGTGTGCTTCCTTGTCTGTTGTTCATTCCTATCAGTTTGAGCACTTGTTTGTTGATTGGATTAGAAAAGCCATGGGTGTGCAGAGTGCAGGGTAGCAGATATCAAGCTGTGAAAGACCTTATGCGTGATGCGTGACAAATCAGAAGAGCTCCTGAAAACTCCCAGGTTTGCTGACCATTGCCATTTCTGGATGATAAGCCACTGGAGGGCAAGAGTGAGGTGGCTGAACTGAATTAGAATAAGAGCTAGATTGTGACTTTCCTGTATAATTAGAGGTGTGCAAAATATTTGAAACCAGAAATGAGAAACATTAGCAATTTACACGGTTTTGTTTTTTTTCAAAAAAAGAACTTGCTAGAAGTAGAGTGAGACTTATTTAATGGAGAAAAAGACTGTTTTTACCGTTCACAATGAAGCAGTGGGAAATGGTGGCCAACTCTAACAACCAGTGTGTATATGGAGAACTTAAGCTATGCATCTCACCCCAGTATGTAAGTAGAGCATATGTTCAGTGCAGCGTATAATTGAGCACACGGGACACATTCAGTAATACTTTGCCTGCACATTTTCAACACTGAAAAGTGAGCTTGGTTGCAAATCGGATCAGAAGGTCTATAACTTTGCCACCACCTGAATTTATTATTTTGTTTTAGTCACACCCCTCACTGTGCATGAGTCGGGCCTAAGACATGAGAACATTATTGCATTATGGTAAGGAACAGGCCAGATTTGCTGCTGTTGCTGCAATTGTGAATATACTTCTGCATCTAAACGCTGACTGCTCTTTTACTCCGCCTGCTCCTGAGGTAAGCTCACCTCTTCTGATCTAGTCCCTGCTTGGCATAAACTCCACTGTAAACACTTCATGGCCCTCTTGCTTAATGAAAAGTTGGTAAAAAAAAAAAAATGATGGCACTTGATTTATTGCTGTTCTCAATGGACACACAACACAACTTGCTAAGGCTCAACATGGCTATGCAAGCAAGTAAGGCGGGGTGCATTTGTGTGGACTACCCATAGCACTAATTGAAGCAAGAGCGGGGAATCAAACTTCACAGAATGGCTACCTCTCCCCTGCACAGGTGGGTAAGAGGGGCTGGGGAGAATACAGAGCTTTGGCTCTAATGCTAATGTGCTTGCCTGTGTAGCCTGCCAACATACCAAGTATAGGCCTGATGCAATTTCTTTCTTCCTGGAAACAGAGGGGAGTCTGGGAGAGAGATTGTGACTCTTTCAGTCACACTTTTCCCCAGGTTGCTTGTGGGGCAGCAGAACAATATGCTGCAGGTCATGACGTGATAATCTAGCTCTAAATCTCAACAGGCATGTGGCCCAGGGGTCAAACCACTGGCTACTTATGGATGAGCATCGCTGGGTCAGCTTTGACCGAAGAAACTTGGGGGCAGGGAGATGGGAGAGTCAGCAGTAGTCGCGTCATATGTTTCACCCTGTCTTTCCTGCCCTCTTTCCTCACTTACAATGTACAAAAGAAAAAAATCAGACAGCTAATATTCCATGGCTGCTGAAATTTCTGAGTGTGCAAACCAGATGCTCAATATTTTGCAGAGAAATGAATTTTCAGTGACACGAAACTGCCTGAAATGAAAATGGTGAAATTTTTAAACTAAAGCACCCCACCCCCACCTCTACTTTGGCACAGTTCTAGTTATCACCTAGGAAAGTAGAAGAAAATGAAGTTTGCCTTAGTATAAGGAAGTAAGCTTTGCCTTAGTATAAGGAAGTAAGTGTGCCCTTGTTGCCAAGAAGGCCAATGGCATTTTGGGATGTATAAGTAGGGGCATAGCGAGCAGATCAAGGGACGTGATTGTTCCCCTCTATTCGACATTGGTGAGGCCTCATCTGGAGTACTGTGTCCAGTTTTGGGCCCCACACTACAAGAAGGATGTGGATAAATTGGAGAGAGTCCAGCGAAGGGCAACAAAAATGATTAGGGGTCTGGAGCACATGACTTATGAGGAGAGGCTGAGGGAACTGGGATTGTTTAGTCTGCAGAAGTGAAGAATGAGGGGGGATTTGATAGCTGCTTTCAACTACCTGAGAGGTGGTTCCAGAAAGGATGGTTCTAGACTATTCTCAGTGGTAGAAGAGGACAGGACAAGGAGTAATGGTCTCAAGTTGCAGTGGGGGAGGTTTAGGTTGGATATTAGGAAAAACTTTTTCACTAGGAGGGTGGTGAAACACTGGAATGCGTTACCTAGGGAGGTGGTAGAATCTCCTTCCTTAGAAGTTTTTAAGGTCAGGCTTGACAAAGCCCTGGCTGGGATGATTTAATTGGGGATTGGTCCTGCTTTGAGCAGGGGGTTGGACTAGATGACCTCCTGAGGTCCCTTCTAACCCTGATATTCTATGATTCTATGATTCTTAGCAGGTGAATGGCACTGATTTTTTTGCCTCCAGTGCATAACAGGAAGGGAAGCGCTCCTTAAAGCTGAAAATGAGTGGATGAGTTATATAGCGATAAAGAGGAAAAAACGAACACACAGATGGTCATACCGGAACATAGGAGCATTAGTAGAGTGCTGTATTGACAGGAAACAATACCCAAAAGTGCAGCAAAAACATATTCAGTCCAGCTAATACCTGATGAGCCCAAAGAGACCATAAAGAAGGTACGTATACAAGCTAAAGGTCTCAAAAGCGCCTAAGTCAAAGTTCCATTTTTAAAAGTGACCTAGGGTATGTGTCTATTGCAATTAAACACCTGTGGCTGGCAAATGCCAGCTGACTTCAGCTCGGGGGGCTCAGGCTAAGGGGCTGTTTAATTGTGGGGTAGACATTTGGGCTCGGGCTGGAGACCAAGCTCTAGGACCCTGCAGGGTTAACCAGACACTTTGCCTGTGAGCCCGAGTCAGCTGGCACAGGCCAGCTGCGGGTTTTTAATTGCAGCACAGTCATACCCTTAGGGACTTGAGTCTAAGTCCCATTGAGTTTCAATGAGAATTAGCCTCCTAAGTACCTACGGTCAGGATTTTCAGGAGTAACTATTGATTTTGGGTGCTGCCCACCCATCTTCTAATCTAACCCCTTTAAGGTTTGAGCACCCAAATACTGAAGCTTGCAAAATCACTAGTCACTTCTGATCATGTTGGTCTATGCCCAGAGGTAGATATTTGTAGGATTCGGCTGTAAAATGGTACCTTCTTGCGCCTCCTTTGTCTATGGTTCACACTGGCTTCTATACTGACAGACATTTTTAGTACCTTGAGTCCTGCAGAGCCTACTCTCCCTCAGCAGCATGATTAGCAGCTGAATTCTGATGGCAGGATCTTTATTACCGGAGATGGCTTCACAGCCAGAACCACAAAGCTTGATTTTCAGATCAGGGAAACAAATCATGTACATTTTAAATTGAGCAAATACTCTCCAAATCGTAAATATGTGAGCCCTGAGAGACTAATGATAGTAGTTAATAATGACATGTATGGACCGGGCGCAACATGTGCGATAACAT